ACTTTGGGCCAGTCCCTCTTTTTCAGCCCAACCCACCTCACAGGGTTGTTGTTGTGGTGGTGGGGAAAACAAGAGGTGTTAGATATGTTCACCATCTTGAGTTATTTAAGAGCCATGGTAGTTGCAGTGGTAAGAATGCAGTATTGCAAGCAAATTCTGCTGACTGCCAGTAGTTCGGCAGTTCAATCCTGACCGGCTCAAGGTTGACTCAGCCTTCCCTCCTTCCGAGGTGAGTAAAATGAGGACCCAGATTGTTGGGGACAAGAGGCTGACTCTGTAAACCGCTTAGAGAAGGTTGCAAAGCACTGTGAAGAGGTATATAAGTCTAACTGCCATTGCTATTGCTATTATTTGTAAAAATAATAAACAAGGGATATAAATTAACAAATAAATAATACAAAAAAGCTGTAATGGGGCAGCTAGTCCAACTAAAAAGCAAACAAATATAAACAGATGCTAATAGATACCAGAAACATTCATATCCCCCAGGAGCTCAGATAAGAGGAAGGCCAGAAAAAAATCTTGGTTTCAAAGGAGTCCTCCCCAAAAAAGGTATTTCCCAGCCCTCCTTTCCAGCTGCAGTTTTCCAAAGATTAAGGACACGTTCAGAGGCTGGGTATTCCTCATATCAGGCAGACTTCGACAGCAACAGAGACAGCTGCATTCTACCAGATTGAACCAGATTGGCAGATCAATATTGTCAATTTAAAGTGCCAAATCCTCCGCAGGGTTTCTTCCATCCGTTGCGGTTTAACCCTTCCCACTGGGAAAGTTGGAAGGTAAAGCCCAGGCCGCAATTTAAAAAAAAAAAGGGAGGAGGAAAAGAAATGGGTTGTTTTCCTAAATATTGCAGAAAACACGACTTCAACCATAGAGAACCACCCGACTCTGTTGTTAAAGCCTCAACCCCACCCAGATTCAACCTCAAACTGTCTACCGTGGACCTCACCCCATTCCTAAGAGGTCTTAAAGTGGGCATGCATAAGCGCATCAGCGTGCCTACCGTCCTTGTCCTACTGTCCCCATTTATCTGTATTTACTTCCTTTGTTCTTGTTTATGTTCATACCTATACCTGTTATCTTGTACATGTTTGACAAACAAACAAAAAAACAAATAACATAAAGATAAGTAGGTAGGCAGGTAGATAGACAGGCAGACAGCTAGATTATAGAGAGAGAGGTGGATGCATGGATGGATGGATGGGTGGATAGATAGATAGATGATAATAAATAGGGAGGGAGAGAGAGAGAGGTGAATGGATGAATGGATGATTGATGGAGGGAGGGAGGGATGGAGATGATTAGATAGATAGATAGATAGATAGATAGATAGATAGATAGATAGATGGATGGATGGATGGATGGATGGATGGATGGATGGATGGATGGATGGATGGATGGATGGATGGACGGACAGACAGACAGACAGACAGACAGACAGATAGATAGATAGATAGATAGATAAGATAGATAGATAAATAGACAGACAGACAGACAGACAGACAGACAGATCAACCAAACAAACAAACTAACAAAGAAACAAATGGGGGTTTCTGACACAAATCGTAAATGTTTCCTGAAGTACACCAAGATTAAATCCATTTCTACGTGTTTTGTGTGCCTTGGGTGATCACATCTTCAGGTCTTCTTAGTTCTTCCGGACTCAGACAGTCTGGGGTTTTGACAAACAGGATACGGGGCTGGATGGATTGTAGGAATTATCCATTCTGACTGATCTCATCTTTCCCTGCGCTAATTTAATCTGACATTCCAGCAGGGAGGAAACATCAGCCAAGCCATCTGTCTCTGTTACTATTCCGGAACAGATATGGTTTGCATTTTCCCAGGTGATGTTATTGACAAGGAGAGAGGGAGGGAGGGAGAGTGGCAGAGAGAGAGAGAGAGAGAGAGAGAGAGAGAAGGAGGAGAAGGAGAAGGAGGAGAAGAAGAAGAAGAAGAAGAA